TGGTAGTGAGCACAGGTGCTTCCTAGGTTAATCCAAAACAGGCCCTCGGTTCTCTGGCTGCGTCCTCTGCTTGTGTATCTTTCCCTGAACACCGGTGATCAAACAGTACTCAGTTAAGCTTCATGAGATGTACTCTACCCCCATTATACAACCTGAATTAGTTTCAAATATCCTTGTGATGCCGATCACACTTACGGAAACATTATGTTGCCAAAGTCCTTTCTAAAATACGATGCTCAGCATTGAACACATTACCCTAGCTGCCCTGCGGTAAAATATGATGCATAGAACTGAATACAATACATGTGCCTTGCTCTATACTATATAGAAAGCTCTACTGGATTAGGGCAGAACTACAGTCTCCCATTTGGGATTCCTGCCTTAGTAATTCTGTGGTAAGCTAGGATAGATGATGGAACTAAGAACTCACTCTTAGGTCTGAACCTACAAGTGCTGCTTGCTTCTCTCTCCTTTCTTGGTACATGGCCCAGGGCACATTTCCTCTTCTCAGCACACCCTAGATCTGTGGCTTAGAACTGGGTAGTGAGTGACAAAGCTTCCAGTTGGTAGCTGTCCCCACAGCAGTGCCCTATGGCTCCGGGGAGGTTCTGGTGGGACCTCTTCTTGACTAGGTTCACATCATCTCCCCAGGTGCTACAGCATTCCACATACAGCATGTCCCTGGCCTGATTTCATCTCCAGTGTCTGCAGACCTCTGTCTCCTTCTGCTAACATGGGCTGGATGAATGACTCACTATGACTTTTTCTGGATTTCACCATCAGGATTTTCTAGATCTAAATGGAAGAGTTTGGAGGGGGTTATTTAACAGGGACCCACTGTACTGCTTCCTGCTACTCCCCCATCTGGGTTCTGCCTTCCCCCTACAGCCTCTGACACTGTGAATCACCCTGTCCTCCCGGATACTGTCTCCTTAAAGGGTTTTTGTGACGCTGCTCCCTCTCGGTTCTCTTGCTACAAGTGTGACCTCCTCTCAGCCTTCTTTGCAGGAACATCATCCATATCATGCCTCCAACTATGGGCCTTCCCCAAAATTCTGTTCTAGACCTACTTCTATCTCTACCAGTGTCTAAGGGGAGGTGGTTGTCAAGATGGGTTGGCCCTCCTGGCACATACCACTTACTACCTCCCTTTTATGGTGCTTTGCTGCTTCAAGCAGGCTGGCTTATCTGTCCCACCAGGGGTAGTAGGTCAGTAGTTGGTGGGGATGGTGGGCCCCCTTTCCACAAGGATTGTTCGCTTCAGGGATTGTGTCATATTCTAGGCTGGAAGCAGGGCCAGTGAACTGAATGTGCTACTGTTTCTAAGGCTCTCTCCCGAGTTCTAGTTCTGCAACATTAACGTTTCTTGGATTCCTTGTAAGCATCTAGAACTTAACATGCCAAAAACAGAATTCATTATTTTCCCCAAAAACCCTCCTCTCCCCCTTCCAAACTTCTTTATATTTGTCTAGATCACCACTATCCCTCCAGGACCCCAGGTCTGAACCCTTCCCATTATCTTTACACTTCTCAAATCTATCTCCTCAATACTTATCAAACTACCACCTTAGTTCAGGTCCCCATCATATTTGCCTATACTACTGCAACAGCTTCCTGACTGGTCAATCAATCAATCATCAAGCATTTACTGAGCCCTGACTATGTGCCAAGAACTACGCTCTCATGGTTCTTCTCCCACTTAACTGACCACTTTTCTCAGTAGCCTTTGCTGGATCATCCTCTGTTTCCTAGTCCCCAATTCCTCCTGTTCCTACTCCACAGATCCCAAGGCTGTGTCCTGGGTCCTCTTCTCTTGCTACATTCTCTCCTGGTGACCTCATTACCTACTATTGGTTTAATTATTATCTCAATGCAACTCACTTACAGACCTAAATATCCAGCCCTAGTCTCTCTCCTCCTGAAGCCGAGTCTCTTGTCATGAAATGACTACTAAACATTTAAATTGGATAAGTTCTATGATCATTTCAAACCCGTCTAAAATAGAGTTCATTGTGTTTCCTCCCAAACCCACCTGCTTGTCTCCTTGAGTACAGATATCATTATTGTAGCCATCTATTCCAAATCATGCACCACCACCCTTCCCCTTTCTTTCTGCAATACAGTAAGATACGAACTCTGAACCTTCCATCATAATAAACTCATTTTGTTATGTCTGTTAGAAGAGAAGCTCCACTCTAACAAGACAGTCTTCTAAATGTGGCATCATCATCATGATTCATATGTGATCTCAACACAAGGCCACTGGTCCAGATTCTGCAATTTGAAATGATTTAGGGACAAAGGAAAAGAACCTGTATGTTCTAAAGTATTTATAGCAGCTCTCTTCATGGTGACAAAGAACTGGAAATTGTGGGGATGCCTGTCAACTGGAGAATGGCTGAACAAATTGTGGCAAATGATCATGATGGAATACTATTGTGCTATAAAAAACGAGCTCAATGATTTTAGAAAAACATGGATAGACTTGCATGAAATAATGAAGAGCAAAATAAGTAGAACAAAGAGAATGTTGTATATAGTAACAGCAATATTGTTTTAAAAACAACTTTGAGTAACTAAGTCATTTTGACTATTATAAATACCCAAATTAACTACAAAAGGACCTATGAAGGAAGATACTATCTATATGCATAAAAAGAACTGGTAAATAGAACTACGTATAGAACGATTTTACATACATACATGAATACACACACATATATACACGTCTTGTGGGGGGCAGAGAGAAGAAAAAAGGGAAAAAAGAAATTTACACGATAAATTTATTACATGTTTAAAAGGAATAGCAAAATGCACAAGACAGATTTGCAGTTTCATGAGCAATCATCTTTTTTTTTTATTATTCTACTATGTTATGGAAATGCTTGTTTTATTTCATAAATTAAAAATAAAATAAAAATTTTTTAAAAGATTTGAGAGCCTACTTCCTTGTTTTCAATGAAACCCTCTCAATATTTTGTTAACAAGATTTCTGGCTATGATGATCTAATAAAATAATCAATACAGCCAACAGCAGGAAAAAAAGAGACATTCCATGGAACCATGGATAAGGCCCAATGCAGATTTTTATAATTGGCATGTCAGCAAAAATATTACTCAACAGTTTCATTACTGCACAGATGATACTTTCAGTTTTTGGAAAAGAATACATAAGCTCACATTCACAGTGTTTACAGTTCATAAGACCTGAGTTTAAATCTCAATTCTATTAATTAGGACATGCATGACTTTGAATAATTTCATCTCTATGGGCCTTGATTTCCTTATTTGTAAAATGCAAAGGGTAGAACAGACCATAGATTGGCCTTTTCTTGTGCCATGACCCCTTTGGCAGTCTGGTGAAGCCTATGGACATCTCAGAATAATGGTTTTAATGTAGAAAATGAAACAAGTAGGATAACTAAGGAAACTGATTATATTGAAATACAGTCATCTGTGTATATGCGTGTATATTGTGTGTGTATATTATATGTGTGTGTATATGTACATACACACACACACACACACACATACATATATATATATATATATATATATATATTTTTTTTTTTTTTACAAAAATAAACCCTAGGTTAAGAATCCCTTGGGACTAGGATCTCTAAAGTCCTTTCTCACTTTTAAGGACCTGTGAACCTATGTCTTTATTTCAGTATTCCTAGGGGTAAGAAATACAAGTATTATTTTGTCCATTTTGCAGGAAATAAACTCACAGAGTTCCCATTGCCACACAGCTGGTAAGTGGTTGGGACCTCTTGGAATCAGTTGTCTACCTCCAAGCTTTAATGTTCTTTCCATTGCACCACACTGCCTCTCAGTGACTAAGAGAAGCATAGATAAAAAATAAAAGTCCTTGAGCCACCTTCTCTATCAAAAGCCAGTGAGGAAACGATAATCTAACTAGGTTAAGAGCCCTATCTGTAGTTTTATAACAAGTATTTAAGAAATAGCATCTACATGTATTTTGATACAGCACTACAGATGGAAAATGAGTGGTACTAAAATTGAACAGAAGGAAAAGAGTGGGGTCAATTGCACTTGAGAAAACAAGTAGTGTTTTAACAATTCTAAATTGATAATTTGCATAAAAATTCATCTTTTAAACAATAATATTCTCCTAGCAATACTATATAGTTGAGAATCTTAGAACATCATAATCTGTAGTTCAGCTGGGTGATGAGGTAAATGGAGCTCTGGACTTTGAGGCAGGATGACCTGACTTCAAATCCCACCTCAGATACTTACTTAGCTCTGTGACCCCTGGGCAAGTCACTTAACATTTCTTAGCCTCAGTTTCCTCATCTGTAAAAATATGTGCAAAAACAGCACCTACCTCACAGAGTTGTGTGTAAAGTGATTTGTGAATCTTAAAGCACAATAGTAAAGCTGGCTATCATCAACATCATCATCACCATCATCATCTTAGTGATGAAAGTTGTAGATTGACTAGCCCAAAGGGCAATGAAGAGATGCATGGTGGGCACAAATAATTTGCAGCATATTTTCAATAATGACCTATGTGTAATAAGTAGCACAAGAGATATGACTGAGGAAACATAGGAACAAAAAAGGATAGCCTCAGTGCTATAAAGGAGCCCACGAAATGTGAAAAAAGAAGAAAACCTAGAAGACCTCAATGCAGTACAACAGAAAGAGCACAGGATTTAGAGTAGTAGGATCTGGGTTCAAATTTCAGTTCTGCCACTTATTATCCATGAGACCTTGGTCAAGTCACTTAACCTGACTTCATCTCGGTTTCCTACTCTATAAAATGAAAGGATCTCTACTGGTCCCTTCCAGAGCCCTTTATGAAGGATCTACAGAAGAACATAGACAAGAATTATAGAGAATGTGAAGGCATGAATGGGTCACAATTTTCACGGATGGAGGAAATTCCTACATCAATGAGATGATGGCTCCATTGTAATATGAATTGTAGCACAAATAAACATTTCATTGAATTAACATTAAGTTTCACTTACTCATGTAAGGCAGCTTTTCTGGGCATGGATGGTAAGGAGAATATGTGAAGTTTTCTGGAAGATACATTGTTGTTTGAGCAAGATAATCACTTGAATTATTGCCTTCAGGGTAATCTTTGAGGGAAAAAAAAAGAAAAATTAGAGTTTTCTATCTCTAGCAAATTACTTGATGCTCTTATTCTCAGTTTTTCAGCATATATATTATTATCAACGTGGGGGAAACTACAATACACAGAATTAGCAGTAGCAATCCCAGTAATTACGTACAAAGCTAGTGATAAGGAGATGTAGCCATCCTTAGGATCACAGATTTATAGCTTGAAAGGAACTTAAAAACCAATCCAATCCCCTCATTTTACTGCTAAGGAAATTGATGCTGAAAAAGGTTTAGTGACTTGCCTCAAGTGTCTGAATAAGGATTTGAACTCAGGTCTTCTTGAATAGAAGCCATATGTTCAATACATGTTATCTGACTGACTTTACAAAGGGTACTAAAAGGGAACCCTAGACATAGGTTTAGAAAGGAACACATTCATTTTCATAAGAATTTTTTTTACCTGTCATATAAACTTAAACTTTAGTTTTAGGTATTCTAAACTATAGCTAACAAGGTACCTTTGGTTCCCATACTTACTTTGGGAGGACACAAGCAACTCTACAAATGGTTTGGAGATATAGCAGGGCTTCCACTTAGCTGTCAAATCATGCCAAGCTATCTATTGCCCCATACAGGTAAAATGGAATATTCCCACACTCACAAGGCTTCAGCCATGTAATCTATAGAGTCATCTAAGGCTCCTTACTGTGAAAATAAGAACCACATTATCTGAGTGGCCTTATATGGTACAAGGTCTTGAGGATTCAAATTAACATCACTACTACTATTTAGGAATATTTCTCCATTCCTGTCACCAACTTAAGCTTTTTAATATATCATTCTAATGTATCACATTAATTAGTACCATACTGAATTGTATGAGCTTCATGACCAGTTGTCACTCAAAATGTTCTAATACAATTCATTCCACCCTGCACTCCTTTTTCTCTTTCCTCTCCCATTCTTTATCTTCTTTCTTCCTGTTCAATGGGAAGCTGTTTATATGTTTAATCAAATTGTTTTTTGTCACTTTTCAGAGGAAATTTTGAAAATGTTACATATACCTATCCTTACCTATTTAGTTACAGAAATTTCTTCTCTATCTCCATCCATAATTCCAATTCTGAGACCCCTAACCCTAACACTTTGACAAGATTCCCCTTCTATGCAAGAGTAGCTAGTTTCCCTCAGTCTTGCACTGACATATCTGTGATTTGATCATTTCAATCAAAACAAAAGACAAAAATTACTTCTTAAGAAGATCAAATAAGTGGCCTCTATAGAGAACAGAGAACTTATGTTGGAATCAACACCTGGATTCAAGTCCTGCCTCTAAAACACTTTGGCTGTGGGAGGAGGGCATTCCTGGGCAAAACGCCTAATCTCTCATTTAACCAGGCAATCTTATCTAATACGATAAATATTAGACCAGTTGCCAATTAGCATTGGTAGAAGATGTTTCCTTACAGGAATTCTCCTATATCAATTAACTCCAAATCCAGTAAGCAAATTATATACACGTATGTATGTATGCATACATACATATACGTATATATTTTATATGTAAACAAATAGAAAGAAAGATAGACAGACAGATCCATGTATGTAACTATAAAATTAGATTTGAGGAGGAAATTATTTAAGAGATAAAACTTATTCTCTTTCTACTATATCACATTTCCCACTCTAATTTTTTAAAATCTTTCAAACTGCCAACATATAAAATAGTAAAATTAATTATTATATTCTTAGTACTCCTTATACCATCTGTAGTAAAAGTTATATTAGATATCTGACACTTTTGTAGATGATATATTAAGAATCTTTTCATAACCCTTTTTCTGCTAGTAACAGTATAAAGAAAGTATGTGCTAACACAAAGAAATACTATTTTGAACCAGATTTACTTATTCCTTTTACTTTCTTAGCCATGTATTTCTACCTACCATTAATTGAGATTGCTGTACAGCAATCTCAAGGCCCTTTAAATACAATAACACCTGTTATCACATGCCTATTTGATAAAATTGCAACTCAACCAACTTTCTACTGCCATAGAATCATAGTCTTAAGAAAATTTACTTGGGTCACCGAATAGGTTAAATTAAAACCATCATAAGAAAAAAAAATCAGAATTTAGATGTGAAATAGTCTTTAAAGTTCATCTACTCCAATCCCTAATTAGGGAATATAAGTATGAATTCTCTCCTTTCATCTCTTGTAAGTACAAGTTTCAGTCACTCAAAGTGGGTCATAGGAGCATTTTCTTATACATTTCACATGAAAATTTATGTAGATATTTAAGAATGAGAGCCTTTATATTCACAGAAAAGTATGACTATGGCAAATTTTACAAATTTGTAAATGAAAATATAAAAACTAATTAAGAGACTACCCTAAATATTGTATAAGCAGTCTGAAAATGAAATCACAGAATCATATGACTTCAAAATTGACCATTTCATCCAAACCATATCTGAAAAAAGAACTCCCACTATATCATACTTAACAAGTGGTCATCCAGCTTTTCCCTAAAGCCTTCCAGTAAAAAGGACCCACTGCCTCACTGAGGCAGCCTGTTGCTTTGGAACTGCTCTAATTGCTAGGAAGTTTATCCTTACTTTAAGCCTAACTTGGTGTCTTTGTCCATTCATGGTTCCTAATTCTGCCTTCTTGAGCAAACAAGATCCAGGTGTGTGTCATCCTTATATGAAAGCAGATATTTGATATTTTCTAACAAGGCATGTTACACAACATAGCTGTTTGCAGAGGTGTAAGGAAAATGGGGAACGCATTCAGAATTCAACAACAATTCAGAATTATGCAATGGAGTACATTCATTAAAAATAAAATCCATGTTAATGCATAAGTGCTCAATAGGGAAGTGGGACCAGGAATTATATTAAGTATTGCACTTAAAGGTAGTTCTGAATATAGTTTTTTTTCCCCAATTTTAGGAAGAGACAGAAATTTCTAAATTATCATAGTATTACATTTAAATGGCTCCAAAATCCCGTGGATTTCCCCCTCCTGGAGGCAAATTAATGAGGTTCACTATACTGTGACTATTTATTTAGCTGGAAAGTAGTTTGGTAATCAAGATTTTTGGAGCAACTGTTCCATCATAACTTTTTTTAGTTAATAAGTAAAATCAGATCCTGTCCAAATTTCCATTCAATTCGACTCAACAAATATTAAGCATATTCTGAGAGAAGAATACACATTAGACATAGAGGCCATCTCCAGTCATCCTGGTCCATATCTTGCCACTGAGCCCAGATGGCTCCAGAGGAGAAAGTAAGGCTGGCAATTTTGCACAGTCCTCCCTCAGTTAAAGCCAATTTACTTGCAAGTCATGGTATCACCTTCTTGATGTCATGGTCCTCTTCAAGAATGAAGGACTAACAACAACAGGCATTGGACGTGATAGACAAAGTTCAGGTAAAATGTAGTCCCTGACTCAAGAAGTGGGGGTATGGCACATACAAAAACAATAATACGAAATAATATATATGCCTAAAAGGGTACAAAGTGAGGACTTAGGGGAGGGGACAATAGGAAATCATTGAGGACCAAGGGAATCAAGGAGGCTTTCTGGAAGAAGTGGTATTCAAACATTAAAGGACACGTAAATATTCAACCCGCATGGAGATAAAAGATAGGCAAGGGACATTCCAGGTGTAGGGAACATGATGAAAAATTTCAGGCAGAAAGAAACAGAACATGTAAGGTGTATGGTGAAAAGCCTGGTTTGGCTAGAGCAAATAGTAAGAGGAGAATATTATAAGATAAAGATGCAAAGATAGGGTAATGTCAGATTATAAAGTGTTTTGAAGTCTGGAAGCTATGTGAAAGATGAGCTAGCAGAAGGAAGGCAGCGAAGGTGGGCAGACCAAAATTACATGATTTAGAACTATAAGAGATTATTTGGTTCAACAGATTCATTTTACAGATGAGGTAACTACAATCTGAAGAGGTTCAGTGGCTTGACCAAGGTCATTCAGTTGGTTAAATAGTAGAGCTTGGATCTGAACCTCCATCCTCCAATACCAAATCCAGTGTTTTCTGTACTCCTCCTAGGAAGCCATTATGGTTATCTAGTCAAGGGACCATAAGGACTATTATTGAATGATGCAAATTTATTTGAAAGCTACCTCAGAAACATGTTAAGTGATTGGCTATGAGAAGTGAGGGGAAAATAAGAATAAAAGATAACAAAGTTTCTAATGTAAAAGTTGAGGTAAAGTTGAGCAGTAGACTGATAGAAATGGTAGGGTTCAAAAGAAGGGAAAGATAGCTTGTTGTTTTTATCATGTTGAATTTGAGATGCTAGTAGAATATCCAAGTGGAGATATCATGTAAACTATTAGAGATATAGATTTGCAAATTATCTGCATAGAAGTGCTGGTTAGAATCAAGCCAATAAATGAAAATAATAAAGGGCAGAGTGTAGAAAAAAGAAAAGAAGAGGCCCAAGACAGAATGCTAAAGAAACATTCACCTTAAAGACTGGAGTCAGAGTATGAAGAATCAGCAAAGAATACTGAGGGACTGGTTAGAGAAGTAGGAAGAACCTCAGGAGAAACCATTAGTCTCTAAAGAAAATGAAGGATACAGTATCCAAAAGTGGGAGCTGGTCAACTATACCAAATACTGCAGAAGAGTCAAGGAGGATGAGGATTTTAAGAATATTAAATTTAACAATTAGGTTGTCACTGGTGACTGTAGAGGGTTCTGTTTCAATGGAGTGATAGGTATGGAAATCAAATTGCAAGAGGTTTGATGAAAAAGGTAATGAGAAAATTGAAGCCTAATATACACATGTTTGGAACTGGAGAGGAATGAGAGAATGTTTTATCATTAGGAATATTTGAGGGATTGTATTTTTAGGACTGAGTAGAACCAAGTATGTTTATAGGCAGATGAGAGTAGACAATGAAACAGGAAAGCTTAAAAATGGATGAGAAATTATTTACTGTAGTAATGACCTCCAGGGAGTGTAAGGAATAATTATATG